CGTCCCGCCGCCCGGGAGCCCCCGCCTTTCCCACGAGGCCCGAACCTCCCCCAAGCGGGTCCTCAAGACCACTCAGCAGGCCTCGCTCACAGCTTCTTTCCGGCCCCTCCCTGCCCCCGGCCCCGGGCCCAGCTGCTACAGGAGCCACAGGACGGGCTGACAGGTGTCCTGGGGTCCCCGGCTCAGCTCTGCTCCTCCCCGCCCCCTGGGGGTGCCAGCGTGGGCCCCCCGCGGTGCACTTTCTCAGCGCTGAGGCCTCAGACACCGCGTTCCCTTCCTCGGTGAAAGTCTTAGTTTTGTACAGATCTGCCGCCCCGCTGGGAGGCGCCTGCAGATGCAGCCAGAGAGGGCCAGGACCCCTCCCCGCAGGTGGGAGCACCCCCGCAGTGCATACCTGCTGACCCATTGCTGGTCGAGGCGGGTGCCCCGTTCACCTGGCTGGCAAGTGGGCTCCCGGGGGAGAAGGGCTTCTGTGGAGGGAGAGCAGGTTAGGAAGACGGCTCCAACAGCCCTCTCTCCCCAGCCCTGGACCCCGCGCCTCCCTCCCCTTCCCTCAGAGGGCAAAGCTGCTGGGGGCCCCGGCCACAGACCCAGCCACACAGACCTCAGGCAGACCGCCCATGGCTTCCTTGAGCTTCACAGACTTCTTATCATGGGCATTGAAGAACTTGATGGGATTGGCGAGGGCCACAGTGAGATCTGGGTGCACAGGGGCGTCACAGGCCTGGTATGGAGAGTACCTGGAAGCCCCCCAACCCTCACCTACCCCAGGATACCCTGTCCTGCCCCCCTCTGGAGGCTGCCTTGAGGAAGGGCGAGTGGAAATGGACAGCCCCAGGCTCCCGGCACTCTGTGGGCCGCCTAACCTGCCCAGGTGTCAGGTACATAGTCTTTCATCTCCAGGAGGACGAAGAGCGCAGGCATGGTGAGGGGCATGTTGCTCTCACTGCGCAGGCACAGATGGTGGTATCCTGCGGGCGTGACAGAGGGGCCGTGAGCAGAGCCCATTGCCGCCCAGCACCGTACGCCAGCAGCCCAGCACTCAAGGCTTCTGGTTGCAGAGTCAGAGAGGCCAGGGTCCAAGTCCTGGCTGTGTGACCTTGGGAAGGTTGCTTTAAATCTCTGAGCCTCTCCTCGTCCGTGAAGTAAGGATAACGGTATCTACCTCATGAGGTTAGCAGGATTACATGAGAATATAAGCCCTTAAAGCATTTTAAGTGCCCAATAGATGTCAGCTACTTGGGAGATTGCCCCAGTGGTTTCAGAAAACGACAGACATTCTGTTAGATGGCCGGAGCCCCGCCTCTGTCCGTCTCCTGCAGAGGTGCTGCTCCTGCTGCAATCCTGAGGGCTGATGGCGTGAAGGGCTTAGGTAAAGTTCAGGGCCACCTCCCTGAAGCTGCCCACCCTCTGGATGGGCTCCTGCTGCTGGCCTTGGTCTCAGACCTGCAGGGGACAGTGAAGAAGGGCCCCTACCCTTACCAGTGTTCAGGGCATTGATGGGGATGATGCGGTGTCCGAGAAACTTGCTGCCTTCCTCCATCACAGCCACCCTGAGGGAGGCCAGCTCAGGCATCAAGATCTGGGGAGAGTTCAGGACAGGACACGCTGGGGAGGAGAGGGTGGCCAAGTCGACCCCCTCCCTAGTTTCAGAAGTCCAGGGCCAGTGTGAACATAGCAGGTGTGAGCAGATTTGGTGAGGACAGAGGGCACACTCTAGGCCACACACATAGACATCCTCACAGCTCATGTCCTGGCCGGTCCACTCAGGGGAGTAGGGCTGGACATGCAGCCACGGCTCTGGGGGTCCTGGTGCAGACAACTGTGACAGCTTTATCACAAGTATCCAGTGGGGCAAAAGGCCCCCTTGTGACCGACCCCATGGGACCTTGCACCCTGGTCCGGGCGTTCATATTTCTGCCTCTGATCCTAACATGAACACACACACAGGCACACACACACACACACACACACACACACACACACACACACACACACACACGTACACATGTGCACAAACACACACAACCTGTGCACCAAGTATATTTCTGTAAACTTGGTTTTTTGGACTCTTGAAATTCAGGAGGGCACAAAGTGAGGGGTGGGGAGAGGAGGAGGATCAAGGAACTCCCTCTATGTATTTTCTCTTTTCTATAAGTAGAGGCCAAGAATTAGGGACAGCCCTTACCCTGCCCAGACCCCAGCCCCTGCCCTGCCCTAGCCCTCCACCTTCTCAAACACAAAGGGCTCCTCATTCCAGACGGGATTGATGGAGTTGGCAGTGGGGGACAGCTTGGTGCGATAGCGCCTCTTGGGGTCCCCAGGAAGGCCAAACAGCTCCACTTCCACATAGGTGCGCACACTGCGTTCTGACAGAAACTGCCCCGAGATTACCTGGAGGTGGGAGACCAGCATCAGCTCCCCCACCCAGCCATTCCCCAGCACCTGGGCCTCTGGCTTCACTGGCTGAAGCATCCATTCTTGGGAAGCGTGAAGAGTGCCACTCAGCTCTGGCCACGGACCAGAGGCTGTGTGGCTCAAGGTTACAGCTAAGCTCTGGTGACGAGGGTGTTTCCAGCATTCAGGAAGGGGTGTGGGCCTCCTCCCCTCCCCTCCCAGGCAAAGAAGGAATAGGGCTCTCTCCCAGGGCCTGGGTTCCTACAACCCCACTTTGCCCACTCTTCTCCCCTCCCCCATCCCAGCCTCAGTCCTTCCCCTTGGTTTCCATGGGGACCAAGAGGCAGCCTCCAGGGTTGAGGAGGAGGCAGTTTCCAAGGCAACTTGCTACTGCAGGAGCTGGCTGGGGCTGAAGTTTGCAGGATATCAGAGAGGGGGTTGGGCGTGGAGGAGTGGGGCTCCTGTGTCTTTCTCCTCAAGACGCCAGCCCTCCCGGCCACTTGTCCACCTCAGGGCCTTGCCTTAATGGAAAGGGTGGTGGCTACCACCACGTCGATGCCATCCACCGAGAATGGGTTGAACTGCTTGTCTGGCCGACGCATGAACTCATGCTTGAGGAGGTAGCCGCTCTGCCCATTGAACTCAAATAGTGCCATGTTCTGCTGCATGGGAAGATCTGGGGGACAGGGTACTTGTGAGGAAGGTCTGACCTCTATTTCCATGTTCCCAGCCTTCCTCCCGGCTTGTGAACGGGGAGGTTGAACGACCATGGCATGAGGGTTTCTTAGGGTGTCTCTTCCCTCAGGAAGGGCCCACAGCCTGGAATCAGCAGGACCAAAGCCACAGCCAGACCTCGGGCTCACAGTGGGAGTGGAGGCCAGTGGAGCAGGTGTTCCCACAGACCCACTCAGAGAGCAGCCAGCAGCCATGCCGGCTCCTGGCATCTTCGCATACACACTCATACATACGTGCAGTCATATAGGCATGAGCTAACGCATTTCTACCCCGGAACACGCACACAAGGGACCAGGGATCCACAGGAGCTGCCCAGAGGTTACCTGGAGGTAGGAGCCCGTGCTGACCCCTCTGGTGCACATTTATAGACAGGGCCCCCGTCCAAGAAAGGGAGAGGACCTAACAAATACTTGAACATCCGGTCTGTTCTAAAGACCACCCCCCAGGAACAGGAACGGGGTGAAGGTGGGAAGGACAAGGGAAGGGGCTTAAGGGCCCGAGAGTGCCTCACCCATTGTCTGGAAGTTGAGGGCAACCATCTGGCAGCCAGCATTCCAGAACATCTGGGGCATGTAATTGGAGGAGTCCATGCGGGTGCCCTTGGGGTAAATGCGGCTCATCTGGCGCTTGTTGTAGCTGCTCCAGAGTATAGGAGGCCAGGCTGACGCTGCACCCGGAGTACCCAACAGCCCCCCTTGGAGCCCTTCCCCATCCCTCCTCCCAACCAGGACCCTGGCTCCTGAGGCCTCAAGGATACTCCACAAACTGCACTGCGGCTTTGGAGAGCAAGTCATAAGCCTTGAGCTCCGTGAAGGAAGAGATGACATAACTTCGGTTCTTCTCTGTGGCGGAGTAAGAAGAGGGAGGGTCTATGTCAGGCTGAGGTACTCCCTCCGACCCCCCCCACCCCCGCCCCTTCGGTGCAGCTGCCTCCAGCACAGAGATGCATCTAACCCAGCGTATCCCCTGAGGCTTGAGGGTTCGGGGGTTGGGGGGGGTGAACCCAAGGGGCAGGGGGATGTGCAGATCTGTGTCGGTAACTGTGTGCTGGGGGTAAAGGGCATGCGCAGTGGGTGTGCACAGGGATGGGGGGTGTCACAGTCCTGGAGGGTGAGGGGTGCATGCCTGGGTGGGTGCAGAGGATGTGGGGAACAGGAGAGGAGGAGCCCAGAGAGACAGGAACATGCTGTGATGTGCAGGGTCTAAACACAAAGGGTGCGTGCGGCGGTGAGAAGTACACACCAAGGGTGGTACACGCCATGGGGCACAGGTAGGGGTGCAGGCTGTGGGTTCAGGGGTGAGGAAACAAGGTTACAGAGGTATACACTTCGCACAAGTGTACACAGAAAGAGGTGATCATGTTGGGGACATGCACAGAGGCGGAGAGGAAGGCACCGTGTGTGTCCGGAGAAGATAAATAACGGTGTGCACAAAAAGGGAAGGCTGCAAGGAGTAGAGTGCACTGGCTGGCTGCTCTGCCTTCCATCCCTCCCTCCCCCGGAGTTCTTATGCCCTGGGGATGGGCTTTCTGGGCTGAGGGGCCACAGAACCTGCAGGAAGCCGCAGGAGCCCCAGGCCAGCCCCGCTGAGGTGGCCTGTCATAAACGGCCGGCCTGCCACTGACATACTCCAGAGCATTCTGCTCCGTGCCAGACCCCCGGAACTGTGCTGGGAAATGGAGCCACTGCCACTTAAGCCCTGGCCTGACTCCTCTGATGCATATTTATAGACAGGGCCCCGGGCCAAGGAAGGGGAGGACCCCTTCCTCTTACCCCCGCCCATCAAAGTGCCTGGTGTCAGACACACTTCCTGAGGGCCTCCTGAATCTAGCCGAGCCTCCAGTTTACCACCACCCCGTGCGAACTTACGGGCAGAGAACTCAAAGGAGGTGAACTTGGTGGGCTGGATGTAGTTGACTAGGCTGGACATCTCCTCGTAAGCTGTCGCCTCCAGGCCCGCTGTGCCCTAGGGAAGCGAGAGGAGAGTGGAGAGTAGGAGCCCAGAGCCCAGGGACATGGCCCCATGTCCCCCCGGAGGACTCGGGCCTCCGGGCTGTCTCCACACACCTCATCCGACTGCATCTTCTTCATCTCTTCTTCATCCAGGTTTCCCGACTCCTCCTCCTCTTCTTCTCCCACGTCCTCCTCCTCCTCCTCCTCCTCCTCCTCTGGCTCAGCCCTTTCCTCACCAGCCAACACTGCCGCACACAACTCCATCAGCTCTGGGGC